TCAATTTTTTTTTTATTTTCGTTTTGATTAATCTGGATCGATTTAAATTATACATCTAATTTTAGTGATTGAATTTCTCAACTAGAATTTTCTACATATACAAGGACTTAATAACTCGAAACATAAAATAATATCAAACTGCTTACTAGTTGAACTAACCTCGTAGTAATGCCAATCCTATTGTTTCTTTTAATAATTTAAGGCATTGTTTTGTTTCTAAAAATACAAGTTTTTTAATATATTATTTTAAATGTTATTAAATTTTAAGGTTTATATCGATTTTTTCTATTAAACTTTAGTTTTGACGTTAAGGTAAGTATCAGATCGTTAAATTAACGACATAGTTTTTTTTCTTTCCCATACATTTACTTTATGTATTATTTTTTCACTAAATTTTAAAATAATTCATTTTTATACATTAAACTTTATATATCATTTTTTAATAAAAAATGTCAACTTCATTACTTAGCATTATCGATCAATAGTTACCTGTCATCAATAGTCATTTGTTGTAAGATCAATATCAAATTTTCTTGCCCTACTAATTCAAAATCTCATACAATAATTTTGGAAACATACGATTCAATGGATCAACAATTGTAGCGGAGCTAGAATTGAAGGATCAATAGTAAAATATTAATGGAAAGGAAATAATGACTACGTGATCATGGAGAATTAACTTTCGTTAGATGTTTAATAGTTTATTGACGAGGTGCAATAAATATATAAATTTAAAAGGGTAAATTATACAAATAGTTAATAATGTTTGAGTAAGTTTTTGTTTTCCTCATTGAAGTTTCAGAATTAACAAATTGGTCACTAAAACATCAAATATATCCTTAAACAATGATTTTATATATAATTTATCTCAAAATCTTTTTAAATCTTAAATTTTCTTTTCTAAATACCCCACCACCTCCACTATGTTCACTTGAACCACTCTTAATGCAACACCAATCCAAGGTGACTTATTGGTCGCGTGTTTAATCGTGCAATGTCGTGGTCGTCCCTTTCTTATGTGGCCACAACCGGATAGGTACGCCAAGGCCAACCATGTATAGGGCCTAGTGGCAGGGTAGAATAAGCTTGTCATTTTTTCAAGCATTTCAATGTTTTAGGTAGAGAGTGGGGTATGACTTACTATCCCCTGTTCGAGCATTTCAACGTCTATAGGTAGCATTTCTATTATTTTGTTTTCGTATATATGTAGGGGGTGGACAACCGGCAGAGTTTGGGTTGATCCACAGGTAAAGGTATGTGAGTAGACACACCATCGAGGGCTGCCCCTACAGCCTAGTCGGTGGTGTGGGGTGAGTATGGCAATGTAATCCAATGTTTTTTAATAATAAACTATTTTTCCCAACAAGTAATGTGAGGTCGTAGGGTGTGCATCTGCTATGCCTCACGATCTCTAACCTTGGCTTGGGAAACTCTATTATGGCAATAATCCTAAGGCTTATGTGGCTATTTCTTGGACAGATCATTGAGGATTGAGGCTGGCTCGACTTGGGAAGAGTCCCTTTTCAAGTGCCGCACGGATTGCAAACCTAGTTGAAAAGGTAAGTCCGTGACACTTGGTATCAAAGCATAATGATTCGTGGTAGATGATTTGTGTTCCTTGTTTCTTTTTAAGGAATTACGCCGAGCGCTCCAGCGTTAAGAGTTGGAAGGGGGACATAGTTCATGTCAAGCACTTCCAGTGGGGAGTAGGCAAGATGACCTGATCTTACGTCGGGCGTTCTAACGTGTGGAGTAGGCAGGGTATTCCTATTTTTCACCGAGTACTTCACCGTTAAGAGTTGGAAGGGGGACAGAGTTCATGTCGAGCGCTTCCCGTGGAGAGTAGGAATGATGACTTGATCTTACGCCAGACGCTTTAACGTGTGGAGTAGGCAGGGTATTTCTATTTCTCGTCGAGCGCTTTACCGTTACGAGTTGGAATAGGGGCAGGGTTTATACCGAGCGCTTCCAGTGGGGGAGTAGCAGGATGACATGATCTTACGTCGAGCGCTCTAACGTGTGGAGTAGGTCGGGTGAAATAAGATGTACTTTAATATCTCGCCGAGCGCTTAAACATTGAGAGTAGGCAGGGGAGACAGTGTACATGCCGAGCGCTTCAAGAGATGAGTAGGCAGGATGACTTGATCTTACACCGGGCACCCTAACGTGTGGAGTAGGCCGGGTGAAATGAGGTGTGCTTTAAATTCACGCCGAGCACTTCAACGTGTGGGGTAGGTAGGATAAACAGATTTCATGCCGAGCGCTCCAAGAAGGGAGTAGGCAGGATAACTTGATCTTACACCGAGCGCCCTAACGTGTGGAGTAGGCCGGGTGAAATGAGGTGTACTTTAAATTCACGCCGAGCACTCCAACGTATAGGGTAGACAAGGTAGACAGAGTTCATGTCGAGCGCTTCCTATGGGAGTAGGCAGGATGACCTGATCTTACGTCGAGCGCCCTAACATGGGGAGTAGGCCGGGTGAAATAAAATGGTCTAGGCACAATGGTGCTTAACTGTGAAAATGTGCAAGGATATTTTTCATCTGAGTAACAATACAAGCACACGTAATTACAATGTTTGGCAGGGGATCTTGCTTTATATAGCACGGAGGTGCTTTATGGTAATATTTGTGCCAGAATACTTATTCGTGTTGTTGACATTGAGGCAATACTTTGTGGCACGAGGATGCTGGAAAATTTGTGTTGTGATAATTTATATTCTAACCATTCTGGTACTTACTTGTGATTATTATTGTTTTTACAGTATTGCTTAACATATATTGGAAAATGGTTGGAACACGTTCCAGTGGTTCAGTAGACCAGAACAGAATTGAAAGTTTGGAAGCCGAAGTGGCGACACTAAAAGCTGGGATGATTTCAGAGGATCGAGTTAGAGTGATTGAGGTAGCTCAAGCTCAACTCTCAGAATCATTAAACGAACTTAAGGCTGAAGCCCAAGATTCTATCAGTTATGTGTTGGAGTCGTTCGATGAACTCAAGGCTCAAGTCAATTTAATTTAACTCGTTGTGGGTAATCTGGGTTCAGGCACTGTTGACAGAAGTCAAAGGGACAAGATACCAGAACCTTAGCGGTTTGGCGGAACCAGGGATGCTAAAGAGTTAGAGAATTTCTTGTTTGATATGGAGCAATATTTTAAAGTGATGCAGGCTAACTCTGAAGAGGACAATGTCTCTATGGCCTCAATGTATTTTGCAGGAGATGCCAAATTATGGTGGCGATCCAAGTTTGTTGACGGAGTGTGCTTCATCAACACGTGGGATGATTTGAAGAAAGAATTAAAGAAATCATTCTTCCCAGAGAATGTGGAGTACAATGCACGAAAGAAGTTGAGGGGACTAACACAAACAGGGACTGTTTGTGAATATGTGAGGGAATTTGCAACACTGATGCTAGACATCCAAGATATGGCTGAAAACGACAAAATGTTCTATTTCCTGGAAGGGCTTAAACTGTAGGCTAGAACAGAGATCCAGAGACAACGAGTAGAGGATGTGACTGGCACTATGAATGTCGTTGAGCATCTCAACGATTATACTAATGTAGTAGTCAAGCGAAAAGGCCTCTTTTAAGGAGAAGACAGTTTGTTTAGGGGTGATAGTGGTATGAATTTGAGTAATGGGAATAAGGTGGCTAGAAGGGATGGAGTTTTTAGTTGGGAAGCGGATAAGAGACCTTTTCTCCGAGACCCAACACCGAATACGTCAAGTAATGGGTATAAGCAAAGTGGTGATAAACTGAGGCAACCTGTGGATTCATATCCTAATAATAGATATAGGTAAAGTAGGGAAAGACCAGGTCATCCTTGGAGTGTTATTTGTGTAAAGGCTCTCATCGATTAGCTGAGTGTCCGCATAGGAGGGCGTTCAATGCGCTGGTGAACACATCGAGGAATGAATCACAACAAGATCCGTCTGAAGATGATACTGAAAATAAATCGGCTAGAATGGGTTCGATTCGATTCTTGTGTGCGTTACAAACTCAAGTTAGTAAGTTGAGGAAAGAGCCAGTTAGGGGCCTCATGTATGTGGATCTCGTAGTGAATGAAATAACTTCAAGGGCCTAGTGGACACTGGAGCAACCGACACTTTCATCTCTCCTGAGGAAGCTAAGAGGTGCGGATTGAATGTTACCAAGGAAGAGGGGCAGATGAAGGCAGTGAACTTGTCCGATGTAGCGATATGTGGGACCGCTAAGAATGTGAAGATAAAACTTGGAGTGTGGGAGGGGGAAGTTGACTTTATCATATCTCCGATGGATGATTTTGATATTGTCTTAGGTATCGATTTTATAATGTCAGCACGAGTTATTCCAATGCCTTCTACAAGTTGTTTGATGCTGTTGGGAGAGAACCCATGTGTAGAGCCGACAACCTTGCTGCCGAAGTTGAAAAGGAAGAATTTTACCATGAGAGAAGTCCTCAACTCAACGTCAAAAGAGAAAGGATCGAGAATCACTCGTCGATGAGGACATCAACTAATTGGGTGGGGTCAAATGTCGTGGCCGTCCCTTTCTTATGTGGCCACAGCTGGATAGGTATGCCAAGGCCAACCATGTATAGGGGCTAGTGGCAGGGTAGAATAAGCTTGTCCTTTTTTTCAAGCATTTCAATGTTTTAGGTAGGGAGTGAGGTATGACTTATTATCCCCTGTTCGAGCATTTCAACATCTATAGGTAGCATTTCTATTATTTTGTTTTTCCACATATGTAGGGGGTGGACAGTCGGCAAAGTTTGGGTTGATCCACAGGTAAAGGTATGTGAGTAGACACACCATCGAGGGCTGCCCCTACAGCCTAGTCAGTGGTGTGGGGTGAGTATGGCAATGTAATCCGATGCTTTTTAATAATAAACTATTTTTCCAAACAAGTAATGTGAGGTCGCGAGGTGTGCATCTGCTATGCCCCACGATCTCTAACCTTGGTTTGGGAAACTCTATTATGGCAATAATCCTAAGGCTTATATGGCTATTTCTTGGACATATCATTGATGATTGAGGCTGACTTGACTTGGGAAGATTCCCTTTTCAGGTGCCGCAGGGATTGCAAACCTAGTTGAAAAGGTAAGTCCGTGACACTTTGGTCGACGCCTACTGCGAAAAATGGGAAGGTCTTGAAGCAAAACAAAATTTTCACATTTCTGTGATCTTTGTGAGAGATTAAAAGAAGAGAGCTTCTTAGTTCTCTTACCATGTAATTGAGTTTCCAAATAACCATTTTGCATCAATTCATAGACAGTAAACCTTGTCTCACTGTAACTGCTGAGATCCAACAATGAAATTATGTTTAAATGCTTGAACTTAGAAAGCGAATCCACCTCATTCTGCAATTTTCAAAGAATAACATCACAACAAAGATGAAAATCCAAGAAAATACATGAAAAATGTGATTTTTAATACAAGGACCGCTTGTTCTGCATCATGACTTGAACATCCCAACTTCTTGACAGCAGCATAAGAACCATCAATGAATTGAGCTTTGTAAACACATCCAAATCCACCAATTCCCAGAATATTACTTTGATGAAACTTGTTGGTAGCTTCTGCAAGTACCTTGTAATCTATAAATGAAGCAAAACCCTCCTTGGAAGCATCCTCATAGACTTGAATTTACCCAAAAATGGTGCCAAAGCAATCTCTTTTTAAGCTTCTAACCACAAAAGAATCAACTCTTAGGTGCACTCTCAAAATCCCAGAAACTATGAACAAAAGAATGAACTGAGCATTGGCTTAAGAGAATATACCTGAGTTGTTGGCATTATTTTTTACGGGTTCAAGTGAATCCTTTTTGTAACAAATCCATAAACCAAACAACGAAGAGATAATTACACCCAATGAAGAACAAGCAACACCGAGAGCTATTAACATTTTCTTTGACAAACTCATTCTTTTGTTCTCCTCACTCCCTGTGATTTCAGTAACAACTTTTTAAAGCTAAGGTATAACCTTTTTTTAGCAGAACTTAGAAAAAAAATAAGCAATGGGTGCATTTTTAGTACTTGAAAGAAAGGGCTAGAAATGAGTGACAAAACAGGGCCTCACCACAAAAACAACAATGGCTTCATGAAAAGAAACAAGGCAAAGAAGCAGAGGCAGAAACTTCTTTTTCATCGTCCCTTTGTTTCTTTTTTCAGAAAAATACTAAAACTTTTACGATTACTAATAACACTTAACAATACTAAAGTTTTAGTGACTAATGTGTTACTTTCGAAACTTTGGTGGGAAAACAAAAATTTACTCAAACATTAATAACCATTTGTGTAGTTTATCCTTTTTAATATTATATATTCATTGTGTCATGTCAACACTCTATCAAAAGTCTAACGGTAGTTAATCCTCAGTGACCCTATTTTAACTAAAACAAAACGAACAAATATTATGTTTTTTTGAATTCAATGAGAAAAAATTGTATAATCCTTAAACGAAAGTGATCATTCTTATAGTTTATTTACAGTGTACAACTCAGATCACACCATAACTATAACACAACAAAAAGAAGAACAATCATAAATGTGAATGTGATTGTCATCCAAAACACATGGTGTAATAGACTGACAACAAATATATAACTATACACTGCTAATAGTATATGTAACATCTACAAAATTGTTACACCTCCTGTCCCCTCACTCCATTGGCTCCGTTGATGTTGTGAGAGTGCTTATCAGACCCTTTCTTCTTCCTTTTCAGAACAACGTACCAAGTGAATACTTCCAACGAAGTGGCAACAATGCCCAAAAATATGAGAATTCCAATGTAGATTCTCTCCCAATGGTCATCGGGTTTAAGGATGTCGAATCCTTCAAAGATATTGATGATGATGCAGATGATGACAGTGTAACCAACGGAATGATGGTAGATGTTCCAATACATTCTGTATTTGTGATCATTGTTTGGCCTCAGAAGCAAAGCAAACACCTGTCGGATAGTTTGATCAAAACATCTGTGAGAATTTTGCTGATGATCCTAGGAGAATTCTTTGGGACGAGGGAGAAGAAAGTACCTGAAGAGTATCGAGGCAGAAGAGGGCGATACCGATGTTCCGATGAGGATTGTGTGTAATACCAGGAGAATCACTACCGAGCCTAATGCCAGTAACCCAACCTGCAACACCCACGGCGTAGGCCGAAGTTTGGCAAGCAACGTGGAGATAAAACCATGTCGGGTCTGCTGATTTGAACACCTTCATGTACCTAGCTGTTATGGCTCCCAAGGGCATCAAGATTCCCCAGCTCATCGTGTTCAAAACTCCATGAACCTGCAAATTTTATTTTGAATCCGTTTTAGAACATGACACAGTGAAAAAAAGAAGTTATCACTTACGTTTCTTCTTCGAGTTCTTGAACTGCCTGAGCTCCCTCCAGATTGTCCGGTGAGGAAATTGACACTTCCAGCGGATTGGAGGTTGGCCCCTGAAAGAGAATGAATCCCTAGTCGCCCGTTATTGGCCTGACCTTTTTGCCAAACCTGGCTGGTTGATGACCAGCTTTCGGAGATCCTCAGAACATCGAATATCATCATCTCCTGGTTCTCAAACCTTGCTGAAAGGATGAGAACCTCAAAGCTCAAAGCACTCGATTGCATGGTGGGGCTCATGGTGTCAATGGATGTTGTGTAAGCCTGAGCCACGCCACTGGAGTTGACAAAGGCGGCCAAAGCGTGGGTACCCTGCATTCTTGGACCCGAAGGGTTGAGGCCCCAGGTCAACCACGTCGAGTCGGTGGTTCCGGTGTGTCTAAGCGCGACATCGAGGGTGCCAGCGGCTTGATCATATGTCCAGTGGAGGAAACAGTTCAAGGTCGGAAGGTCGTTGCAGTTGTCATATTGCCTGTTATCTGGAAACCTTTGGCTACGACAGATTTGGGCAGAAGATGAAGCCAAGAAAGAAAGCAGCAGGCATTGTTGGAAATCAGACTTAATTTAGAAGTTTGAAAAGTAAAAAAAAAAGATGGCTAAAAGAATATGCTTAATTATTAAGCAAAGTGCATACTTAATAATTAAGGCAAAAAACGTGACAACACCAAATGTTAGCAGCAAACAATTCTTATCAAATAAGAATGGACTTTGAAAAGTCAAAGGCGGTAGAATGGTGACAACTAACAATATGGAAACATGGCAGCAACAACACTTTGAAATACTTAATTATTGAGCAAAGGTTAAGGTGACAAAAACTAGAAGATTCTTGATTAATGAAGCATGATCTTGAATTACTTAAGAACTAAGCATGGAAAATAAACATCTGACAATTGATGATGGAAGGGAATTTCATTAAGACAAGGAACTTCATGTGGCAATACAAGAAGAATTTGGAAATGCCTAGATCTTTCATTAAGGAGGTTTAATTACCCTTATAAATAAATGCAATGTATGAGATAAATATAAAAGAGAGAAAAATGAAGGCTTAGAAAAGCCAAAATGAATAATAGCTTAGCAAAGCTATTAAAGAGAGAGGGTGAAGCTTAGGAAAAATTAGGAATATGATTGAAAGCTTAGAAAAGCTAGAGAGAATTGAGTAAAGCTTAGCAAAGCTTAGAATAGCGAGGTTGTTTGTAAACTAGCTGCAGCTAGTGTTATAGTGTTGTAGTATTGTAATATTGGGGTAACGTTGTTGTAACGTATTTTGCCTCGTATCAATAAAAGTTTGACAGAGTTATAAATTATCGAGAGCCCATCGACGCTTCCAACAAGTGGCCTCAGAGCTTGGTTCGAGTTTAATGTGGTGGAGAAGATGGTCAACATGATTCAACCATAAATTCTGATATTGACAAAGACGAATTATGGCAATTGGAGCATTCAAATGAAGGCGTTACTAGGCTCCCAAGATTGTTGGGATATCATCGAGGATGATTACACCGAGCCTGAAAATGCAGTAGCAGAAGCAATCCTGACCAATGAAGACAAGAAGGTATTGAAGGAATCCTGAAAAAAAGAAAGATAAAAGAGCATTATTCTTTATTTTTTAAGGAGTAGACGAATCTACCTTTGAAATAATTTCTGATGCAAAGACCGCAAAACAAGCATGGGAGATTTTGCAAAAATCTCTACAAGGTGCCGAAAAAGCAAATAGGAATATATAGTCGCAGTAGCGTGCGCTTACCAAGAAATGAAGAATCGATTGGAGATGATAAGCAAAGAAAAGCTTGGAATGGAAAATCAAGTTTGAGGGGGAGTGTTGGAAATCAAACTTAATTCTAGAAGTTTGAAAAGTCAAAAAAAGATGGCAAAAAGAATATGCTTAATTATTAAGGCAAAAAACGTGGCAACACCAAATGTTAGTAGCAAGCAATTCTTATCAAATAAGAATGGACTTTGAAAAGTCAAAGGCGGTAGAATGGTGACAACTAGCAATAAGGAAACATGGCAGCAACAACACTTTGAAATACTTAATTATTAAGCAAAGGTTAAGGTGGCAAAAACTATAATATTCTTGATTAATGAAGCATGATCTTGAATTACTTAAGAACTAAGCATGAAAAATAAACATGTGACAATTGATGATGGAAGGGAATTTCATTAAGACAAGGAACTCCATGTGGCAATACAAGAAGATTTAATTACCCTTATAAATAAATGCAATGTATGAGAGAAATATAAAAGAGAGAAAAATGAAGGTTTAAAAAAGTCAAAATGAATAATAGCTTAGCAAAGCTATTAAAGAGAGAGGGTGAAGCTTAGCAAAGCTTAGGAATATTATTGAAAGCTTAGAAAAGCTAGAGAGAATCGAGTAAAGCTTAGCAAAGCTTAGAATAGCGAGGTTGTGTTTGTAAACTAGCTGCAGCTAGTGTTATAGTGTTGTAGTATTATAATATTGGGGTAACGTCGTTGTAACATATTTTGTCTCGTATCAATAAAAGTTTGAGAGAGTTATAAATTATCGAGAGCCCATCTACGCTTCCTACAGGCATGATAACAGAACAAGTTTCCAGGTTTTGTCCATGTTTGAAACTGGGATTCACAAGGCAATTGAGATCCCAACAACACAGATATATATAGAAATATGTTTCCTGTATGGAACGAACGAGGAAATGGGGAAGTAAAATGTCTAGAAGAGCTCGTTTTTGTTGACTAATTCTTCATCAAAGGCATTTTTCTAAAGCTTTGAAGAAACAGTGTTATGTTCATATTTGGACCAGTGGCCGCTGTAAGGAATTGGAAACAGCTTAAATTTTCAGTGCAACACCGACTGGAGGAAAGCGATCTAAATTTTGCAAGTGCCTAATTTTATATTAGACGAATGAATAGATGAGTTATGTTAAAGCATTTGACCTTTATGGAGTCAATAATCATGTGAAAAGCGTTACGCCGAATCTAATAAATAAACCACTCGGGAATACAGGTCAATGTCGCCGGCTAATTCCACGCCGTTTATTTATTTATCAGTTAATGATTCTTTTCCCAAAAATTATTAACCGTTTTTAGGTTGAACAATCGTTTAATTGTTTTAAAAAACAATTACGACTTCTAATTTTGAAAAAAAAATAGTGTGATTTTGGATTAATTGGAATTAAATTGAAAATGAGTCGTCATCAACCTTTGAGTTAGGTAGGTTGAATACCTAAAAACGTCATCTAAAAACAATTTTAAGAAAAATCATTTTGTAAGACAAAAGTTAGTATGCGTTTACCAAATATTCAATTAAAACGGGTTTGAAAGTCGATTACACGTAGGGAATGATTAGCACCCCTACAGCGCCCAAAATTAGTACTGTTTCGCTTACACGTTGTCGTAATGGTGGAAACTCTGAATCGAATATAAAATTAAAATATGATCCTTTTATCTAATATTGATTAATTTGCTTCAATAAAATTAATTAATTAGAAAAAAAATTCATTAATTTGAAAAGAAATCTCGCATTAGCAATCATTTGTCGAGAAAGCTATTTTGTAACATCCTCAATACCGGGTTAGTGACTAAATTGTAAGGTGTCAAAATTTGGCGATTTAATTAGAATAATTGAATGGTTTAAAGACTTATATGAGAAATGTAGTGTAGGACCAAATTGAAAAGGAGGAGGAATGAAAGGATAGTATGGTCATTTGCAAAGAAAAATATTTATGAATGGTATATATAGATACACGTGGAAAGAAGGAAACAAAGTTTAGAGGTTTTCAGAGTTCTCTTCCTTTCTCTTCTTCTTCATGTATGAAGCCAACAAAGGTGAGTTTTCTCTTGAGTTGATTATGTGCTGAAATTTAAGTTTGATTTTGATTATTAGATGCTAAGTAAGATTAAGGAAAGCTTAATTTGCTTTAAAACAACAAGATGAAGAGTGTATGAGGATTTAAAGATTTGGAGTTCTTGAATGAAATTTAAAAATAGAGTTCATAATTAGAATAAGAAGTTGAATTTGACTTGTCATCAACCTAATTAAGGAAGATGAAGAGTTAGAATTAGATTTGGAACATGTTGAAATTTGAGTGAGATTCTTGAATTCTATGTGGAGGATTGGATTTTGAGTTTAAAAAAGTGATTATTGAGTAGTAATGAGTGTAAGTATATGTATGCAAGTTAGGGATATTAAAGGAAGTGAAATAATAAGAGTTGAGCTGAAAAGAGAGTGAATTTCGTGTTGAAAATGGAAATTCTGGGTTGTGTGCATCGGTACATCTTCAATGTGTACCGATGCACTCTTAAATAATTAAACATCGAATGCAATGAGTGCATCGATGCACAAGTAGTGCATCGATACACCCCATTAAGAAGAAAGCATCAAATGTAATTTGTGCACCGATGCATAGGTAGTGCATCGATGCATATGTAGTGCATCGATGCATAGGTAGTGCATCGATGCATAGGTAGTGCATCGATGCATAGGTAGTGCATCGATGCATAGGTAGTGCATCGATGCACACGTTAAGGAATTCATCGATACACTGTAGAGTGCATCGATACACTGTAGAGTGCATCGATACATACCTTCATTAAGAGATGAAATTAACCTTTCTTTTGGTCTAAGGAATGAATGATTAACGTATATCAAGTGGAATACTGATATGCATCAATGTATAATTATGTAGATATTGAACGTGACTTTGCTTCAAAGTAATCGAAAGGTTAGAATTGATTTAATTCAAACAAGGCTAAGGTGAGTGCATATGCATAGCATGATTATGTTAGTATATCCATTTCTAGACTTGCGATAAGTCTAGATTTAATATATTGATACATGATTCATTCAATATTATGAAACATTATATGAATTCATACCACATGCATAATGTGATATATTTGAAATGAACATGCATGAAAAGATACCTGTCTATGGGATATAATATGTGAATTGTGGTAAGTTTATTTTCCAAATTAGAGCTTATATACATGAGTGTATGTGATATATATATTATTGCATATGTTACATAAATTGTGTGAATACATGTTAGTGAAATAAGTTATGTGAACTAGTATAAATAGTATATGTGATTACATAGGTTATATGATATAAACATGTGATATAAGATATAAGCTAAAGAATTATATGATATGAGATAAGACAGACATATGTGGTTATAAGAGATATGAAAAACAGGAGAAAAGGAAAATGTGATATGTGAAAGTGAACTATATATATATGAATATGAGAAATGATATAAGCTATGTGACATTATCTATATGATTACATGAATATGCAATATGTGATACATGTGATATGATATGAAATATATGGTTACACATACATGTGGTATGTGACAGAAGAGAAAGAACAAGTGATATGAAATGTTATAAGTGATATGAAATGTTATAAATGATAATACTCAAGTTATGTGATATGAGAGCTAGGGTATAGTTGGCATGCCAATAGTCGAGGGTTTACCTATGTTCTACGGAACATATAGACAGTTTTACCTATGTCTTTCGAGACATATGGACAATATACCTATGTTCTAAGGAATATATGGACAATTTACCTAGGTTCTTCGGGACCTATGGATAGTTGTCGAGGTTCTTTATGACCTCTAGATAGGTTATTCGGGACATTTATTGAGCTGAGGTGACAGTATACGTGTGCACAGCCTCATAATACTCGTATGCCTTGAGTTCTCAATAGTGTATATGGGCTTAAACAGGACATAAAGAGTATGTATATAATTGTATTTTAATATGGTATTATTATGATTTACATTGTTCCATATGTGGTATGATAAATGATGATATGATAGTATAATTGCATTTGGATAGTAGACTGCATGTTTATATTTTTAGTAATTCCTTATTATGTAATTATGCCTCACTAAGTCTACGACTTAGCGTGTAAGTGTTTTTACACGTAGGTTCTAAAGAGAGAGGATCAAGAATAGGAATTTGCAGAGCATCATATCTCCACTCAGCGATCAGATCAGAAGTAAAGTCACGGTATGTATTTTGTTGTGTTTAATGTGTTGACATGTAAGAAATATGTTAGTTACAAATGCTCTAATCAGTTGTGTCTTGTTTTGGTCAACTTAGGTAAAGTAACAATGTTATTTTAAGGAAAGTTTAAAATTTCTTCGGTTTTCTTTAAAAGTCAAAGTTTGTAAAGTAATGTGACGCCTCAAACTCGTATCAAGGTCGGATAACGAGTTGGGGTGTTACATATTTCATCTATTTCTTATTTAAATTCGAAAAGTTTATTTTCATTGATTTTTTAAATTTGAATCGAATATAATTTAAATATCAATTTTGCACGAAATAATATAATAAATTTTTTAAGAAAATATAATAAAATATTTATGATAATAATATTTTAATCCTTAAAAATGAAATAAAATAATAGGCAAGAAAAGTTAATATTTGAAAATAATTAATATAATTTGTAATGTGAGAACAACATAATTTTACACAATATATAATAGGAGCTCCACTTGCAAAAGTTTTTGAAAATAATGATAAGAATCTCACGACATTTTCAATCACATAATAGTCAAAAGTTTTTGAAAATAAGAACAACATAATTTTAAACACTATATAATGTGAGAACAACATAATTAATAAAATAATACAATATATATTATATGAAATTATAAAACACACACCTGCCATATAAGTAGTTTTCCATCACATTGACCCATAAAATTAAATTGTTTAAAGAAAAATTTTATATGATAATGGGAGCTCCACTTGCAAAATCTTTTGAAAATAAGGACAAAGGAATCTCACGCCGTTTTGAATTTGATTATTGTTTTCCATTATGTATTTAATAATTAATGTTAACAAGGATGTCAAAACCAATTAAAATAGTGTTTGCTAAAAGTTAAAATAGTAATATATATATATATATATATATGAATACATAAGATTTTGAAAATATAATAAGTAACAAATAAACTGATTTACATAATAAATTCAATAATATTAAAGCTTTTATGACAAATAAACTTACTAAGTAAATACAATTGAAACTACTTTATATGTTTAGAACGAAATTAAATAAATTTAAATTAATGTAAATATTAACATGACTTAAATACTAATTTACAACATAAAATAACAAAGACTAACAAATTAAATAATTAGGTGATTAAAAACAAAAGAATAATAAAGTTTAAGGTCAAATTTAAATATAAAATATAATATACGGTTAGTGAATATAATATAATAATTAACATATCGTGACCAATGTCAAATATTTACAAGAATACGTAACATATAAAAAAAGGATTAAAATATAAATAATAAAATATAAGCTCTCGAAATTAAAATAAAAAAAACTTCCTTTAATATTTAAAATATTATGTTACAAAATGACAGGGACCTAAATCGTTAATAAACCCAAAAAAACACATAGAATGTCCTTATTAAAACGGCGTCGTTTCATCAGGGACATATAAACCCAAAATATGGGCTTTTATTTCTCCCTTCTTCATTTCATTTGTTTTATCAGAAATGAAAGAGAAAACTCTCTCAACTCTCCTCTCGCCGGGAACAAGAAACCACGGCGGAGATCGCGGTGGCGAGCGACGG